CACCAGCGTCGTAGATCTTGTTTGGCTTTGGAATAGCAAGAGGGAAAGAAGTTGAGAGTCAGTCAAGTTCAAGTTGGTAATAGGGAGATTTTGACTGAATATGTGTAAATGTAATGTAATGCAATGTAAAAATTGTGTAACTCAAATATGTTATCACGAATTTTTATCGGCAAATAACATCACTAACAACAAAACAGTTTACTGCAGAATTTATAGAAGTTGTATAGTGGAGAAACAAATCAATGAAAATGTGAAAAGGAATTATAATTTACATAACAATTCCTTAAAATATTCCAATCTATCATTTCGTCTGTTTGGGGCGAATGAAAAACGCAATGAAATAGTTTTCACGAGTATTGGGCTAAAAAGAGCGAAAGAGTTAACACAAAATAAAAAGTCTAAATTGTACACTTCAGAAGAGAAATTCCACTTGCCTTTCTTCCACCCTTAAGATAGGAGAACTAACCATATTCGAAAAAAGTCAGGTTTTTATAAAAGGTTTCAGATGCGATAGAAAACATGTTCTAAATATATACCTCCAGAAAACATGTAGTTACAAGTAACAGTGTCGTTAGTACTATAAAAACTTTGATAATCCTTGCTCACCAAGTCAAATATCGTGAGGTAATCACTCCAATCTGATCTCCACAGATCAAACACATTTTCAAAATATGAAGAATGATTTGGTGGTTAGTAATCTTCACATTTGGTAGGATGGGAGTGCAAGTTCTGGTCTTGTTATTTGTAATACGTTCAGGAAATAATAATACTCGCATGTTATCGTGGTGGAATTAGGAATAAACAGATGTGAAATAGACTATCTCAAGATGTGCACTGTGCTGGACAGAAACATCCTGCACCATGTGGATGTCGGAGAGAATTACTTACTTCGGGGTGGAACAACGTCACTCACAAGAGGTAAGCTCAGTGAAAAACTGTCTCCGCGGAAATTATCAGCACAAAGTCCGACATATCTGGTCATCGGAACTGTCGGGTAAGTACAAAGTTGCTGCCACAAATATACTTACCGTTCCGATTTGACTCTACTACTTTGGAGTATTGAAGTGGAGAAGCTGTTCTCCTTTTTTCCTACCATATTAGCAATATGTTTTCTTTGTTTAGCATTTCTCTTATCAATAAAGTTGTTATTGAAATTATTATCACCCTACCTATAAGTTATAAACAGATAGACAGAGAGAGAGAGGGAGGAAGAGAAATATTTGGTTTCAAGAACAAGCAAGCTTAAAAATGTGATGCACCATGTTAGAAACATACGCATCATTCAATAAAACAAAAAAATGTTCTAAGAAAAATTGTTATTCAATTCTTATGATTTATTGATGATTCAACACAAAGTGTGATGAGTCACTCCATCTATTAAAAAACCAGCATCAAAATCAGTTGCGTAGTTTTGAAGATCTGCGCATACATAGGGACTGACAGCGGAAAGCGACTTTGTAGTGATCTGAATTTTTTTTAAATTTTGGGGCACAATGAAATGACAATCTTAATCGCCAGGTAGATACTGGTTACTTAAACTATTTTTTTTTTCGAGGAACCCTGTCAACAAAAACATATGAAACATCATTTTGAAAATTTGGAAATTTTGATTTTGCAAAACATAGTTGCATATTTGAACTTGAAATTTCCCACTTCCATTCAAAATTATATTTTGAGAATTCAATCAAAATCTACTTTGACCTCAGAAATTACGACATTGAACTGGCCACTGTCTCTCTCTGTTTCTATAGCACGGTGACTATTTTTACTCTCTTATATGCATCACAGAGGACGAACTAGAATAGTTTACGTTATGATAGATATATTACAATAGGATAGTGACACTTTGAAAGGATGCACGAGTTCTTTGATTTTTTTAAAATGTTTCAATTCATGTAAAAATAAAAAAAAATTGAAATGGTTTTTTTACAGATGAAGAGAACCCTTGAATATACTAGATAAAGAAATGCAAAAGGAATGAAGATCAAGTTTTCATTAGAATGTTTATAGTAAAGTTCCAAGATGGATGAATAACACTGTTGTCTGCAATTTTTATTTTCAAATTTGGTGGTTTTGAGAAGGAATTACCACTTAGAGAATACCAAGTGGATGTTATCGTTGTCCGAAATTTTCAAGCTATAAGTCGAAACAGTTAACAATAAATTTTGAGTTGAGAGACAAAAATTTCGATTACTGAATCAAAAAAATACAGGTCTCAAAGCGAAGTAAGAAAAAAAAACAAATAATAAGATTAGTGTGACCTTTCTATATGTCTCCGTTCATTTACAATCACAAGAAAGTTAAACAAAAACTAATGAATGAACAACAAACTATTTGACTTTGTAATTTCCAGTCATTTGTGTTTTTGTTGAAGTAGTTTGTATTCATGAATATGTGTTTTTTTTTCAGTTTCAACGACTACTACAATCCATATAGGAATGTAGTTGACACGTCAAGAAGAGAACTTTGACCACGCCACTGAAGATGACTGCCGCAGTTGCAGTCGAAACGTTTGGAGATTGTAACAAAAGAGGACCACGGCATAACCCGGAAGCCAATCAAAATATAATTCGTATGTTTATGTACCGCTAATAGTTATAAACAGAATCAGTCAGAAAAATCAAAAGGCGAAAATAAAATATGTTTTCTAATCCACAATATGAATAACACTTAGAGAGAATATATTTTAAAATTTGTTAGATTATGAATTTGCACAATGGGTACTCGATCCAAGTTTGGTTGAAATGTGTAATATAATTAGGTAACATGTTAAGATATTTCTGTCGAATTCCCCGCACTGAATATTCAATCTCAATGACCCATTAAAAAAATCACTGCGGTAAAATGCACCCCGGTGAGTCTGGTCTACCAAATAGGTCAGTTTCTGAAAAATGTTCGATCCTTCTTGGTATTTTGGGGTGCTGTGTAGACGGCTGGTCGTTTTTCATATTAGCAACGGTCTTCAGCCATTTTTATTAATTAATCTATGATTTCTGTTATAATTATAGGTTAGCCAATTCTTCTTGTACAGTTTTCTGAAGAATTATTAGTTATTTGGTTTGTTCCTTCAGTAGAAATGATAATGATAGTGGGCGTGCTAATTATTTTTGAGAACTGTTATTTAGGAGGATGATGATACTGAAATGAGTTATTATAGGAGAGATGAGTCTAAATCATCTAAACTGAAATGAACAGTGTATTTTCGAATGGTATTTTGTTTGAAGAGCTGCTGAGAACATAATTTTGTATTAATTTGTGCCATAATTACGTATAATTATGGTTTATATCCTCATGAAATTTGATGGTATGACATAAAGTATGCACATACTTCTATGCGTGAGGAGGTTTAAAAGTATGTTTCATTTTACGTATAGTTCTAAGAAATTGAACAGATGATCAATCACTGACAGATCTAGAAGGCTAATAAAATATGCTTGTCAAAAATAACAAACAGTTCGTCATTTACTTTTATTGTAGATGATGAGAGGTGATTACGAAATATATTTTATAGTGGAAGAGCTTTTTGACTTCTTACTTCTCCAACTTCATACAAAAAAAGGTGTGTTTTATTTTAATTACTTCTTGCTGTGATTTATCTTGCGTTTTT